CCCAAGAGTCAATGTTAGGGATCATGCCTCTTACGTCATCAGAAGCTCACGTGTCAAATCTCCCACCTAAGGGATTTGCTCTTTTTCTTGGCTCAAAGTAATTTCAGGAAGTCTTAGATGTCAAATTTTCTGCCCATATTGTAGTTCCAGGACTAATGTGAGTCAGTATTTCCATGCATGGCTGGTTTTATGAAGGAGACTGTTCCTCAGGAGAGTGTTCTCATAGTTCAAGGAATTTGAAATTGTATCCTTACCTGGGGATAATATGTGGGCCCTGAAGGTCCTTGCTTGGACTGTCAAAGAACAACTTCCCTTATTAGGGGTGAATAACCAAGCAGTCTGCCCATAGCTACTTCATTAACTGCCTGTCTCATTTAGAGGCATTTGATCTCCTGTTCTCCTAGTTGTATGGCTCAGATTGCAGCAACTGAGAGAAGAATCATCTTTTGAAGAAAATAGCAATAATATCTTGTGTTTCTGTGTTGCCTGTGCATGGGAAGAGCATGCACAGTGCCCCCTCTTTTCTAGTTACAGATTTCCTATCTTGGTTATATGGGCATTGAGTTAAAGGGAGTTTCTCTGAAACTGTCCCTAAAATTGGGGCAACAGTCTTACTTTTAGGAGGAATACAAGTTAGAGGAGGGATAAAGCATGAGAGAATCAATAAAGTAAATCCTTGTACTGTGGTTTTCCTGTAGCAGAACCACTGTGATGCAGGAATAGCAGACTCATCAGAATAGTGGAGCAGCATGTGCCACTCTGTGCAGCATGTAAGGAGCCATCCATTGTGTTATGTGTTGAGTCCACCTACTGTTTCCCTTTTCAGAGCTCCCCTCCAGGAGTTGCTTTCTGAATTATGAAGTTATTTTTCCTTCTGCTGCTTCTTTAGCTTATGGTACTGGCTGCCCTGTCAGTGTTGAGTAATGAGAAGAATTGATCACTTACCTCTTTACAGTGGCCCTTTACATCTTTTTTGGCATGTACTGTGTGTCCCCCTGCACTTGTCTTTTGTCAGGATGCAGGCCTCTTAATCTTTCTTCATGTAGATCTTTGTTTCCAAAACCATTTTTTTGTTCTTTCCATTGCTGTCCTCTAAGTGCCATCAATTTATCCTACTTCTTTTGCAAAGACGACGACTCTCAAGGCTGCCAGCTAGCTAAAGAACAAAACCACAGCTAGTTCTTGGCATTTTGACCAAAGGCTTGTTGCTCTGCTTGTTGCCAGAGCTGGGTCTGCTATGTGCTTTCATAAGGCTAAGTCTTTGCCATGCTAGATAAAGCTGTGGACAATGTTATCGTGTGGCCACGTTGTCAGACGTCATTGTAATTATATTTGGTTGCACTGTGCTGTGGCATTGCCATATCCCAAAGTGACACCCTCCCTCTGCAATGCAGCAGTAGCGTGGTGTGGTGGGGAGGAACAACGTGACACTACAGCTGTACTGCTGAGTAACGTCGTCATGTCATGGTCATCACACAATAAACCAGCATCATGCTTCCACAGCGCAGTGTAATGATCTTCCCTTGATATTGCTGTCACTCATCATGAGTGCTGTCATGTATGGGACAAATAAGAGGATCTGCCAGCTAATTCCTTTGTCTCAAGCAATAAAGATCCTGGATTCATTGATCATAGATAATCCATAATGAAGAGTCATTAGGTAGTCACACTGTCATTATATAACAAATCATCATTTCATTTCACATCATGTGGCACCATAACATGAAGTTTCTTAGGTCCTATAAGTTATTCTGGAACCTTTTAAGGATGCACAGTACCTCCTAAAAAAGGGACAGATGGAAAGGTGGCAGAAGTATGAGTTCTGCTATGAATTAAGCTCACAGCAAGTAGAATTAAGGGCAATGTCACAGGAAGCCCGCTTATCTTCCCCTGAGCTTTCTTCTGAAATTTCAGTCTTGATAGGATTTTTGTTTTAAAATGGAACTTTTTTGAATTTAATATTTCAAAAGCTAAGCAGAGCTCTGAAAGTGAAATTAGAGTTAAGTTACATTCCTATGACCTGTTGCCATCTGCTGCCTGAGAATAAAGATTATGCATTAAGTGTCAAGCAACATTTCCATAACGTTTGTAAGGGATGAATATTGTTGAGAAGGCGTCTGCAAGGTGAATCACAAAGAGAGCAGAAAGGCCATAGTTTTAGCAGGTGTAAGTCAGCACAACACTGTTGGGAAAATCCTGATTTACTCCAGCTGAATATGGGATGTAATACTGTTTTCATCATCTGAGTTGGAAGGGCAGATGATGTTTTCATCATCGGGTTGGAAGTGCAGAGATTTAAGTGGTGATTTAAGGTTGCTTATATTGGGAGCAATAGTGAAGTCCATCGGGATGTCTCGACTCAGAAGAAAGTTGAATAGTTTGCCCATATGGAGACACACAGAGCAAGGGGCTGGGAAGGACTGACTGAATCCAGCGTGAAGACGGCAGGAGCTCTGAAGGGAGCCCACTGTAGTTATGGGTCATTGCATCTGTGCTCTGGATAGCAAATAGACTCAAGCAGTGCCTCGTTAAAGCAGGGTGCCTCCATATTTTTTTTAAACACGTTTTGAAGCCAGTGGATTGAAATCTAACCATTTGCTTAAGAGGAACATAATTTACCTCCTCAGCAGCATCCCTTACAACCCCAAATCCACATCTAAATCTTGGGTCCGGATCCAAATCATTGTCAATCTGATGTTGCATTTCTTTTCAAGAATGGAAAACCCATCCAAATTTAGATGGCTGGTTCAGACCCGTACTTACGGGTCAGATCCATTCTCAGATGTGGTTGCCAGGTTTCTTGTTTGCATGTTGGTGGTAGTAACGTGCACATATGTGTGTATTAAGAGTATGCTGGGAGACCAGATAATTCCAGGAAGCCGAGTTGTCTGGTACAGACCTTTTCTAGCAGCCTCTATTGACTTTGCTGGTTTCCAGCAATCACAATTGCAAATTGCTACTGGAATGACTTCATCTACCAAGCCATGCATCAGGCATGTTGCGTTTGCTGATACTTGCATGGAAGACACATCTAGAGTGGCATGTTATGGAGCAAGCCTTATCTTTCCATTTGGCTTTTTTGCCTCTCTGATTTTTTTGCTGCACTTACTGCTTAGCCAGTTTTATTAATGCATCTCTGCAAATGATAGCAAAGAGAGATTTCAGTGTAATGAGGCAGATTTCAGAGGGCTGAGGGAGAAATGGAATAAAAACTTCTGCTTAGGAGTTGTTTGGCTGTGGGCTGTCTGGCTGCTGCTTTTTTTTTTTTTTAAATAATACTTTGAAATTATGGTTCATATTGGACAACAAAGAACGTTCAGTTTGTCATCCTGTATAAAATTACAAGGTATCAGATTATGTCATGGCCCTTACCTTACATGGAAGTCTCATAATGCTTGTTTTAATTGAAAAAAAAGTATATTCCATTTATCTGCTCCCTTAGGTAAATTCAATTGCTTAATAATACCACTAAGGAACACATCTGAGCCTGGACAGGTTGTAGAAATATTTGCAATCAGAGTATCATTATGACTATAGAAATAACCTGTCACTTCAGTATGTGGTCATTACAGCAGAACTGGTGTAACAGTCTTTGAAAAACTCTTAACTGAAGCCAGGGCGTTACATCCTGATGTCCATACCTGTGTCCAAGCTCCAGCTTTGTTCAGGTAAAACTCTCACTGAGGTCTGTGAGAGCGGTACCTGGATAACCAGCAAGTAAACATTATTAAAAACTTGATCATATATCAGAAAATGGTAAGCAAGTCCCATGTAAGTACTGTAAAACGTGTGTCATGATATCTGTCCTGTAATTTATTGTGTTGCCTGTATTTGTTTGTTAGTATACAGGTTGAGGTTTTCTACGGAGAAAAATCTTGAAGCTCAACTTGTTATTCAGCCTGTGCATAGGTCTACTCTTATTTGTTAGATAAAAGCCCACAGAGAAATTCTCCTGGTACTCTTGGTGCACCAGTGCTGCCAAATATATAGGATGACTGACAGCTTAAAATCTCCCTAGTAAGCTGTTAAAATTGCTTGGGACCCTTTTTGGTCAGAGAGCTGAATGATTAAATAGTCCATGGGAACAGAGCTGCTTTCCCATTTCTAGAGCCATCATTCATAGATAAAGTCGAGTTTCATGGGGCAGTACTTGCATTACAGAAAACTGTTTTGTCCAGTTTTCTGTCTTGTGCATTAAGAAGTGGCTTGAATCTTAAGTTATTTTAACCCAGAATGTCCACTCAAGAATAAACTTATTTACAGTAATTGCTAAATACAGAAACAACTGTAATTTTTTTTTTTAAAGCATTCAGCTGGGGAGATCACACAAGTAAGCAGAAAATTTTCTGTTCACAGAAAAATTGGGTCAGGTATCAGTTCTCCTGATGTTCATTGACGTAGTGTTGAAGGGACCATCAGCTGTAGAGTAAGGGAGCAACAGCAAAATATCAGTCTCCACATCAGCTCTATGCTTGTCCATTTTAGTCACTTGAAACCATGACACATGTCCCCAGTGTTGGTGTCTTCCATGTGCTGTGGAAGTCCAAGTGTCTGTAACCCAAGTACCAACAGCCATCATGACAAACCAGTCTCTGCTGCAACTGTTCCCCTTCCCTTTGGCAACCTACAATGATTGTATTTTGTCTCCCCTCCCTGGGAAATGCCATTGTTGTGTGGACTAGTGACATGGAGTGGGAAGGACGTGAAAGGGGGAGTGAGGTATCTGCATCCTTCCTCCCCACCTCAAGTTTTATGCATGATTGCACCATTGAAAAGTAGTCCCTCCCGTAGAAACGTGTGTCACCTGTTTCGGTAGCGTGAGTGTGCAAAGCATCTTCCTGCTTCCCTGTGACAGGGGCTCAGAAGATGTCTAGCACAAGTATACGTTTGCTGAAGAAGTCTTCTGAAGCCCCATGGGATCAGGAGGCTGAATTAGCATCCCATGTGGAAGTGGGTGAGGCTGAGGTGGAGCTGAATTCTCTTTTCCTCTCCCTTGACAGGGCATCCCTTTGGAGCTCCTGCGTGGTCCTACCTCTCCTGGCTCTCACCTGGATGTCTGCAGTTCTGGCAATCACAGATCGGCGGTCAGCACTCTTCCAGATCCTTTTTGCTGTCTTTGACTCGTTGGAGGGCTTTGTCATCGTCATGGTCCATTGCATCCTAAGGCGGGAGGTGAGACAAATGAGTCGTTCTCTTTTATATAACCAACATGCTTCCCATACAAAACATCTGAAAAACGTCCGGTCAGCCTGGTAGCTTCTCTAATCCTGTGAACTTTTGCCTTTGTGTAGACAGTGACCACAAAAATGACCATGACAGTATCAGTCAGAGGGAGGGAGGGATGAATCAATGGTTGTCATGCTGGGTGTACTGCAGAGTGGAATTTGGGGGACAGTCTTAGATCAGCTAACATGTCAGGTTTTGCTTGTTTAACACCAAAATTAATACTTCCAGAATGTTTACACCCCACTTCCAAAAATGGAATATTAAGAAAAACAATTTGTTTGTTTGATTTCAAGAGGGGCAATTTGCACCAAGATTTACAGAATGATTGTATGTTGGCATTAGCGCCTAGATATTTGAGCTAGAAAGTAAAGCTAGCAATAATCAAGCAAGGAAATTGAGTAAAATCTCCCCAGCCTCCCTGTGGAGATTTAAAATGGTAAATTATATCAGGGAAGAAAAGGACGAATCTTTTATGTTTCTTTTATTCTTTTCATCCTACTGAGTGGATAGACTATTAATAACAGAGACAGGAAAAGTTTTTTTTTCAATATTCATTTTATCTTCTTACAGCTCCTTTAAATTAAGTAAAACAGATTAATCTCTTATGTCAGGCCAATGAAATCAATGGAATTACACCACTGGCTTGGCTGAGATTCCTTCAAGTAATTGCATTATGAATATAGGCCTGCATTTAACTCCCATTGCAGTCACTGGCATTTTTTTCCACTGATTTCAATGAGTTTTGGATCAGATATATATTACAGCCGATACAGGATCATAATCAGACATTGTAGTCCCCAATATAATGATTTATGCAATAGCATCCATTGTAAACATATTGCAATCTGCAAAACAGAAGACATTTTATTCATGACTATATAAATCAAGCAACCAGAAGTGACCAGCACAGTGACCCCAGGATACCTGTAAAACCTTTGAGTTGCTCTGTTAGTATGTGAGATATGTAACATATAAACCATTTGAAATGAATACCTGCATGCTACGAAACTAGGATCCATGTTCTTTCAATCTACCAAGGATGACTTTTTTTTTTTCTCTTCAGCAGAATTTAATAAGGTTTGGTATTCCTGTCTGACTCTGACTTTTGCAAATCCATTTGTTCCTGCAGGTCCAGGATGCTGTGAAGTGCCGAGTAGTAGATCGTCAGGAAGAGGGCAATGGAGACTCAGGGGGGTCATTTCAGAATGGACATGCTCAGCTAATGGTAGGGAAAACTACCACCTAGTCTATTATTAAGGGACCTATGGGCATTTTTAACTCGTAACTGATAAACAAAGGGCTCTGTCCATCATAGATTTTGCAATCATCATTCTTTTTTTCCTTTAAACCTGTGCTTGAACAGGTTTAGTATACTAAAGTATACTATAAGTAACACTTAGCATAGGCTCTTTCACACAAATCCGGTTTCTTTTCATTGTAATATTAAGGAGCTCAAACTTACACACCAGGTTTTGCAGACATCTTGGTGAGATCCTTTCTTTCGCAGAAAATACAAAGCCAAAATATACCTCCCAGGTCTTCCAGACCTTTTCATCTCCATCACGCTGCCTTGTTGTAGCTGGAGCTAGGAGGCAGTAGTTTAGTACTGTTTTAATCACAGTGTGTTGGGTCATTATTATGAAGATGTTGTCTCAAAGGGATTTGTTTCTCTCAAAAGCACACTTGTTTACCTTGCTTCACTGGGAATATAGTTTAAGCACTGTAAACCTTGGTCCTGTTGTGTAAGTCAGTCTGTTACAAACAGTCTAGATAAGGCTGTAGAAGAATAAGCTTTGGGTAATCGTCTTGCATCTGCTTCAGTGTTATGATGATGTAGATGATATAAGAGGCATTTGATTTCTGAGGTTGGGGTAAGGACATCAGGACAATCACAAGACTTGAACAAGTTCCAAAAATGTCTAGTTAATATTAGACCTATATCATAACCCAGTGGTATTTTTTTCCAGTCCCTCCTATGCTAAGCTAAGTAGCTTGTGCTTGGGTACAAGATCACATTTCAAACAGCACAATCTTTAAGCCAAGACATCAAGGGATATGTAATTCTACCACACCTCATAGGTGTTTGTTAAAAACAGGTGCCTCATTTATAATTTAAATGCGTAGCCTTCCCATTTTCAGACTTAGGTTCTTGCTATGCCTATTTATGTGTAATTAGAAAGCCCCTTGCATGCCTAGTACTTTTGCTCCTTCAGTAATAGACACTATAATAATATCCAGTCTCAATCCTCCTTTCAGTAAGTTAACACACCGAGCTTTTTTATTCTTCTTCTCTAAGACATTTCCCTTCAAATTATTTATATAACCCTTTTCCACATGCCCTTCAGACTCTCACCGTCCTTTAAAAATGTGGATGCTGTATTTATTATTCTATTGTCACCATCCCAAGCACTATATTCTGAAGTTTCAGATTTTTGTCACTTTGTATAACTCTCTATAACTCCCTGCTTTCATTCGTTATCAACCACCTTGCAAAATTCTGTGTCAGCTACAAGTTTTTAGCAACGAGATTACATTTACTTCTGTGCTATTGATGGATGTGTTGAGAAGTAGAGAGCTTACAATCAGTTTCTTCACATTCAAGCACAAAAAGCTCCGGAATCCAGACGTGAATGATGACTCCTCACTGATATTTTTAGAGGGGTACAATGTTATTTCATAGTGACTGAGTTGTACTATAGCCAAAGAATTCTAAGGCTTTGCAGGATGGCATTTTCGCCATTACCTTTTCCAGTAATCTCCAAATCTGCCCAATGAGTGAAAAGAAGCTTAGCTGAGTAGAATTGTTTTCCACAAAATCTTGTTGACTGGTATTAAATATAAACCTATCATTTATTTATCAGTAGAACTAGTACAGACTGTTTGGTTACATTTTTCTGGAACTCCTGTAGTGAAAATGAGATTATATTTTTCTGTGTCAACCCACTTGCCCGTTTAAACGTTAGCTCAGTCTTATTTCTCTTCTATTCTTTTCAGATTTATTTGATATCCCAAATAATTTACAAAGAAATTAGCATCAAGAAGGTTGAGATAATTCCTCAACCAGCTCTTCAAAAACTCTTGGATCTCAACCTGCTAATATTAAAATGTTTATCCTGGGGGATGGGGATTTTTTTTCATACTCTTCTTAGCATTAAACTGGAATGCGTTTAATCACATTAATACAATTATATTAAGTGTCTTCTTTCTGAAATGATACTGGAAATGATCAGTGAACTCTTCTACCTTTTGCTAGTTTGTGGCCTTTCCATTACTCCATGAAAACTCATGGCCTGCTGTGACTCAGTGTATCCTGTTCTTTGAAACGTTTTCTGCTAAAAGCTTTAGAAAAAGGATTAACTCATACTGGGAGAAGAAAGGAGTTTCATTTGGCTGTACAGACCACTTGAAAAAGTTATTCAGCCTTTGCACCTGCAGGGACCATTGATTCTATACACTAGGAGTTTCAGAAGCAGAGACTTGTTTCCATTTCATGTGACTCGGTGATATATCACAAGAAAGCCCAGTTGGTATGGACCGTTCTCAGCAGCATCCCCAGATCTTCTTAATGAGCGGAGAGGAATCCGCTTAGACCAAGTGTGGGGAGATATATCCAAGGCAGATCAGGCCAGGAACCTGTCCCCTGTTTTTTAGGAATGTGCATAAATGTGTTTCAGGGAGATATTATAATTAGTGGAAGTAGCGTATGGATAAGCAGATGAATCCAGCTTAAAAGCAATGTTACAGCTTTACCACTACCTGAGTTTCAAGAGCCACAGCTGGAAAAAAGTGGTCTGTCTGCCATGTTTCAAAGCTCAAGCAAAACGTCTCTTCTCCACTCTTCTGGCAGTGGTTGTATCTGGCTCACTAATTAAAGTATTTTTTGCATTTTCCAAATGGCTTTCTTTCCCCCACCACCTCCTTTTGACCACGTCCTCTGTGTTCTCTGTCTTTCAGACCGATTTTGAGAAGGACGTGGATATGGCTTGTAGATCAGGTGAGCACATCACAGGTGAGAATCAACAAGTGACCTGGTTTGGGGATTGAACTAGGCCATTTTTTTTCCTTTCTGTTTTATTTGTGTGTGTCTTAGTGGCTTGCATGTACTTGCGTGGGCTGCCCTTACTCTCAACCCTGACCAAAAGAAAGCAACTCCCCTAATTCCCCCTGTGCTTTGCTTATCCTATTTCCCAACAGCTCTCTGGACTTTTAGCTAAGATTAAACCTTGCCTCTGAGGTATTATTTCTTACCTATGGCCCATGTAATACAGTGGCAGAGAAGAGTATCAAGGAATAAGAGATTGGATCCATCTCTTCCTACTGTGATCCTTCTTTGCTTTAGCAACCCCTGCCCAAGGGGGTCACACCGGTCACACCAACCTCAGACAGCTCTGTGCTCAGGAGAGGTGTCTTTGAGAAGGTCTGGAATCCGGAGAGCCTTCCCACCACTCCACCTGGCTCCGTGCACACTTCTAGTGCAGTTGTAAGCTGCCTGTACATGTGGAGGTGGGTCAGATCTCTCCTCCTTTGCCTGCACCTTTCTGCTGTGTGTTCAATCACACACATTCATTATGATCCTGAAGATCTGCATGAGCTGACAGTCCCTTTCCCCAGTAACTCCCTTTTCTCTCATTCCCCTGGGGGTGTCTGTGCTGTCTGGATTCTCCTTTGCTACCTGTTCGTCTCTGCAGGTTTCATCCTCTCCTTATCCTGGCATGCCTGACCATTTGGCTGGGGTTTTTTTTCTTAGCCTTTGTAGATATTTAGGCTTTTATTTGCCGTCCCAGACTTCTCCCCTCTCCCAAGCAAGGGAAATACCAGCTTGCTTGGCACTTGCATATAATTCACATCTTCCAAACCAGGATCTCCCCTAGCCAAGGACAGTACATACTGTGTGTTCAGTTACCGTCATGGGAAAGCTTCTGACTCTCTCTGTTTTTTTTTTTTTTTTCCTCCCTCCCTCCCTCCCTCCCTCCCTCCCTCCCTCCCTCCCTCCCTCCCTCCCTCCCTCCCTCCCTCCCTCCCTCCCTCCCTCCCTCCCTCCCTCCCTCCCTCCCTCCCTCCCTCCCTCCCTCCCTCCCTCCCTCCCTCCCTCCCTCCCTCCCTCCCTCCCTCCCTCCCTCCCTCCCTCCCTCCCTCCCTCCCTCCCTCCCTCCCTCCCTCCCTCCCTCCCTCCCTCCCTCCCTCCCTCCCTCCCTCCCTCCCTCCCTCCCTCCCTTCCTTCCTTCCTTCCTTCCTTCCTTCCTTCTTTCTTTCTTTCTCTTTCTTTCTTTTTCTCCTCTGCTCTCTCTTTCTATGCACATCTACCGCTCCCTTTCATTTATCTTTTTCTTTATCTAATCTATAATTTATTTATCTGCTTCTAATGTATTTATCTATAATTCATCTCTTTCTTTCTATCTTGCAATCACTTATTTATCTCTGTCCTTAGTTGTCTGTCTTGCTGTACCTGTTATTTATGTATTTCTATCTCTGTCAACATTTATCTCTGTCACTGTGTTTCTGTGTATTGTCTATCATTGTCACTATCATTTATCTATCTAATATCTATCTATATCTTATTTATCTTCTCCTGTCCTTCTCTCTGCCTCACTCCCTCTCCCTATGCTTGTCACAGTCACAGTATATTTATCTCACTTATCTCTGTGATGTCTTATTTCATGGTCTCTTTCTGTCCATTTATCTTTTTTCAGAGTCTGTCCATTTTTTTCTTTCTGTTTCTGTGTCTCACACTCGCTAATCTAATTTCTAGCTGTCTCCCTCTTCTCATTTGTCTCCCTCCTTCCTTTTTGACACCAAAGACCTCAGTTCCAAAAAATCACATGCGTTAAACGTGCATGTGAGACCAGTTCTGACTTGACCGCATGCTCAACGAACATGCATCCAGGCTGGGTGTTGGCACACACAACCAGCTACACAGCCAGCAGTCCATCTTGTGCTGGAAACCAAGGCAGACCCTGTACTCCTGCAATAAAGGAGCCTTTCTGGATCTGCTACCATGTTTCTTTCTCCCACATTGAGCTTCCCAGAAGAAAGGAAGGAGCTGATTGGTTTCACATGACTTCAGGGCAGAAGACCCTGGATCAGAAGCTTGCTAACAGCCTAGGCTTCCCTTCTTTGCTAGCATACAGCTATACAATTTGTTTGTTGATATCTGAGATAATCCTCCTCTGATAAAGTGGTGTTAGTCTGCACCAAGATAAGTAGTTAATAATAGTCCCCATTTCAGACACCTTTCAATATAGTGCATCATCCTATGCATTCTGCTTACCGAATAATAAAAAATAGAAATCTGTCCATTGCTTTCTGGCCATCATTTCTCCTGGAGGCACGAGCTCTCGTGTTATGACAGATTGGAGATATGCCTGATACCGCTCATAACCTCCTCACTTAGATTCACTGGTAGGATTGGGTCCATGGCTCGATGTTGAAAGCTCGCTCCACTCCATGCTTGGAGATTGCCAAGTGCAAATCTCTCCAAACCTACTTTCTGCAGCTGACATGAGCATGGAGAAGAGCCTGAATCAGTAAACCTTACTGACGCTCCCAAGCAAAGGGTTTGACTTCAGTAACATCTTCCCGCAGCGTATGCTATGAATACGCTGTAATGCTCTGATTTACCCTAGTGTGCCCTCTAGCAATGTCAAGATGACCGCGGCTGCAGTGTGTTTAGCTTTCAAAGCTTTTAAAAAAGTTCTTTTATTCTACTTGGTGTCCTTGTCATCCTGCCTTGCCTGTAGCCTTAGAGGGGAGCTTTGCTTTTCCAGCACCCATCGCTCCCAATATGAGTTGGTAGAAAAATTAGTGTGTCCTCAGTCCCATGGGGTGCCTGTGTCATCTCCTGCCTCTGTCCCAGGTGGAGCAGCTGAATAGCATCAAGTTACCCCAAAGATCCTTGTCTCTACTCCATTGAGAAAAAAATAGGTAAAAGGACGTAGGGGTTTTTTATTTCCTTCTGAGATGGATGAAAGGGGAACATGCATTTATTTCTCCTTTCCCGTGCTGAAATACTGGGTAAGTAGCCTTCAGTCCCGCACCACTTTGCCCCTGCCCCACAGTCTGTGATTTCCATCCCCTGGAGACATCAAGGCTGATGTCATTATCTTCCTAAGGTCTTTGTTGCAGCCTGAAATCAACTGAGCAATAGATTCTTATGCCTAGAAAAGGAGCAGATGTCTTGTTGTGGGCAGTGTTGTGTGGGAACGAGTGTCTGTGTGTCCTTTATATACCTCCTAATTGGCATGTTCACCTCGTCCTCAGTTTAAGGTTTTCCTCTCCTATTAAGGAATATTCATGGCACTATTTCTTTCCTCAAGGGAAATTGAGAAACACTAAATAATTAGCTCTCACAAAGGCTTGGCATGATTACTAGAATGTAAGTTTTTTGGAGAGCAGTTGGAAATTTATAACAAAATGTCGTGTGTTTTAAAATACCAAATTATTGACACTGGAACTGTTCCTGGGAAAAGATCAACCTGAAGCAGTTTGGCGAGTTTAAAACAATAAAAAAAATTTACATTTGAAATCATTGATAATGCTGTATTTCAGCTATTTTCTGAATCAAAATAATTTTTTATATGAAAGCAACCTTTTATTTTAAAAAATTCTACTCTTTTATAGGCTAATAATATGTATTATATATACATATACTACATGTACTAAATATATAGACAAGTATTTGCTTTTCAAGATACTGTTATTGATGTGATAATATGTGATGGCCTAGTTTGGAGTTTTGGCCATGATTGTGCTGGGAAATTCTCAGCATAAAGAATTCTTCCAAAATGAGAACGTTTTTTTCCTCCCTAGCTTTAGCTTTGCCTTCAGCATCCTGGATATAAAAAAACCTCCAATATAAAACACTATTCTGCCACCATAGCCTCTTTCTGAGAGGTCCAAGGGAACATGCTAGCATGGTGTGACTGTAGTGGGTGTATTGATGTGTTAACAAAAACTTAGGTGAGGTGCTAAGGATACTTGTCTATCTCCCTAGTGCTGAATAAAGACATCACCACCTGCAGGACCTCAACCATCACAGGAACACTGAAGCGTCCATCGCTACCGGATGAAGAGAAACTGAAACTCAATCACCAGAAGGGGTCATCAAACTTTAACAGTCTTCCAGCCAATGTCTCCAAGATGCATCTTCAGGGCTCACCACACTACCTGGGGGCCATCAACCTGAATGAGTTCAGCAATCACACTCTCACTCTGAAGAAAGACAAGAACCAGCCACCCAAGTCCATCTATATCTGTGATGGGGACATCTTCAAGAAGTTGGACTCAGAACTCTCCCGGGCACAAGAGCAAACACTGGACACCAGCTACGTCATTCTGCCTACCAACACGTCTACCTTACGGGCCAAACCACCCAAAGACGAGAGCAAATACAGCATCAATATCGACCAGATGCCCCAGACACGGCTCATCCACCTCAGTATGGCTACTGACCCAGGCTTTGTTGTCAAGAGTCCTCCACGGGAGCCTGTAACCATGACATGCAGTGAGGTGCAAGGTTCCCCCATGATACAACAGCAGCAGCAGCTGGCTCCACAAAATATCTCCAACGAGTCACAGATTCCCAACAGCCTGTGTGACACAGGTGACTCAGGGAACTCAGGTGTGGTGTCCAAGAGTGAGACCGTCTCCACCCTCTCCATGAGCTCTTTGGAGGTGAGCCTGTGAATTACTGTCTTGTTCTCAGACCAGAATGATGCCCTGCCCCGAACACTGGCCCCACCAGGTGTTGCAAGAGAAGCACCTTAGGCCAAATGCGACCCACCATGCAGTGCCAGTATTATATTATCATGAGGTATCACTGGCATGTGAAACCATTTTGTAATCTAATGTTTAAAATCCCTCATGACTTCCACAGACATATTCCATTGCTGGATGGACTGTCTTTAGCCCTACAGGCAATGCAAAGTCCAATAAAAATGTTAGCTTGTCAAAGACTGTTCATTTTAATGCAAGGCACATGGCTTGTATTACCTTTTCTCCTTCGATTCTCTGCCTGTTTCCCATTTTGATGACTTAGTCATGATACAGATGAGAAAACCCTAATGATCGCAGGTGTAAAATGTCCCTAAGGCATGCCCCACAATGCTCTTAGCATCAGAGGGATGTCAGAGGTTTTGCATAAGTGCAGCCCTCTCCTTCTGACCTGTGATAACACATTACATATATTAGTAGTTGTCCCTAGACCATAGATCTTACACTGATGTCTGTCCTAGTTTTTGCACTTCTCAGCATCTGGCCCTTTTCTTCCCTATTGTCAGAGAGCAGGTCTCGGCCATTGCTGTCCAAACTTCAGTCTTGGCTGACTGATGCTCAAAAGCTCCTGTAGATGAATTGGCTGAGCCTCTCTGCTTTCCATTCTGTGAACCACCTGCAAGCTCATAACTAGGACAGAGGCTTGAATTGGACAAACTCCCATGCTCAGCCCATACTCAGCCCTCCTTGGCGCTCAGGGTTTTTTTGATAGGGATCCCTCTAAATGGCTAGCACTTTCCACCATGAAGAGCCAGAGAAAAACGTTAAAGGTGTAGGAAGAAGGAAAAGGAGAAGGACTCTCCCTGTTTTATCTACTGTGTGGTTCAGTTTGTGCCCACTCACCAGCATCAATCCCTTACTAACCTTCACCCATCTCTTCTTCTTTTGAATACCCAGAGGCGGAAATCCCGGTATGCAGAGCTAGATTTTGAGGTGAGTACATCCCTTTCTGAATGTGTTTTTTGATGGGTAGGATAAGAAAGAGAAATGCTGCTTTGTTTTCTTTCTGGCACCTTTGCAGGAGTGCTACCTTTGCCAAAGAGCTTCTTCAAGGGTTTAAAAACGGTGGGATGAAAGAGTTGTGCTGGCTGCCTAGTAAGGCTGACCCTGTGCAGCTAAACAAATGAGTGATTTATACTGGTTTGTGCTTAATTTATGGAGCAGCTTCTGTGTAAACATTTGTAAATCAAGATCCTACGTTGGCTCGCCCAAGGCCTGTAACTTCTCCTCTGTGAGCAAAATGCTTACAGCAAGCTGACGGAGCGATACAGGTGACTGCACCACGTTTCTGTTTGGGAAGCACACGTACATTTGGTTGGTGGCCTAAAATGCCAGGTGGAAAAAGTCTATACTGTACATAGGGAAATGTCTGTCCTCACACCTGAGGCACAGAGTGGAAAGCTTTGAAAGAGCCAATCCTCCACAGAGGGTCCATGGGGCTACTGAGAGCTAGGGCAGCTGTCCTGAGTCCAGTCATGGCATCCTTCCTGGTAGAGCTACCCTTTCCCTTCAAAGCTGCTAGCTTATTCCAAAACAATCATCTTAAGGGCCCACAAGGAGTTGCCTTAATGCTAGAATCACTTCAGAGCTCCAGGCTGTGAGCTTGGTCTGAAATTGAGGCATGATGGGTACATCTAAGCTGATACTTCAAGTTAGTCCCAAACTATTTGAGCCACCTTCTCCGATTATATAGCCCTTGACAGAGCACAAGAAAGCCATATTCAACATGCTTTTACATGCAAAGGGAAGTCCCTGTAGAAATTGGTCCTGACTCTCCTTCTGGGCAGTAGAAGGTAGAAGTGAAACACAGAAGGGCCAAAATACAAAGAAAAGGAAATTGTGGAATAGTTTCTGATGGAACTTCTTGTGCCTGAATCCTACATGTTTGGGTAAGCTCTGAACACCTTTGCGAAGGAGGCACGCTGAGAACAGAGTGGGCATGGGGTCAGGTATCAGTTAAAGAAGGTCAGCAAAGCTTCCTAGGTGAAGCTGGTAGAACATTGCCAGTCAAGCACAAATTCTGCAGTATAAACAGTTGGCAGTTGCAGGTTTAGGGTAACCGTAAGGTCAAAAATTAGTCTTTTCCACCTTCTCCCACTATCTCGTCCTGAAAATAAAGGCAGTGCTACACTGGGTCCTCAGTGAACTTTGAAGGTAGTTTAGGCACGCCAGATTGCACCTGCAGGGAGACAGAGGCAGGTTTTAATAATGTATGTAACTTTGGGGGGAAGACATGTTGTTTCTGTACGGCTGAATAGGGTTTGCTGACCTGTGGCCCTTGTGTTTGCTTCAGAAAATCATGCACACAAGAAAACGTCACCAAGACATGTTCCAAGACCTGAACAGAAAACTCCAGCACGCAGAGAAGGAAAAGGAGTCTCCAACAACAGACAGCAAGGTTAGTCAGACACTTGCAGAACCATCATCTCCTAGAGCTCTCTAGTGTCAGCAGGAGCACGGGAAGAAGCAGGAAAGTTTAGGAGCCCTCACTGAATGCCTTACCTTGACTTTCTGTCCATGCATGTTGCAATAAGCACATGTGCACCACACAGGACACAGAGAGTCACAGAGGTACCACTAGTTTATCAGACAGATAAAACACAGAGTGGTCAGCAGCCCAGAAGGAAAACGTCTGTCCTCATGTCTCTTCGTGGTGAATGGAGTCTGCGCTGTCTTGTTTGTCTCTGTTTCCTGTGTCCGTGTCTGTTCTTTGCATCCCCATTCAGGTCATCTCCGAGTGCCCTACCCATCTACTCATAGCTAGGAACTGGAAACCAGAACAGCCTTGAGGAAATCTAGGTGGAAAGGGGAGAGGTGGATGTGGGGACTTTCTGCAACATGTCATCTGCAACATAACCCCCTCACACTCGTGTCAGACCCATCCTTTCTCTTCTATCCCACTTGCAGGGGCTGAGTTGGAAGCCAAGGCAGCAGTGTTGGGCATAGTTATTTAAGAAAGCCACAGCAACGGGATTTAAGCTGTGATGGTGGCAGCACTTCTTGCGGACTGCATGCTGATTAAATGCAGCATGAGGGTATTTGTGGCAGCTGATCACCATATACATGGCTTTCCTCAACAGGAGCAAATTTCCAGGGCAAGAAGAGACTTTGAGGGAGGCAGGCGGAGGGAATGACCTTGCAGCCTTTCAGTGGGGCAGAGATTTGGTACTAGAAACAGATATCAGGAGCCTGTGTAGTAAGTGATAGGGATAACACAAATAAGGGAGAGCAGGCTGATGGCATCTCCCCTGTGTCTCAGCCCATTAGGCCGGCTTGGGCAAGAGCCGAAAGGCTGCAAGGAAGTGTATCTATCTACTCCAAGCAGCAAGGTCAGGTTGGCAGTAAGAAAGGAGATTTGGGTTGTGCCTGCACTCAGGAGAGAGGCAAGGTGAGACATTTATAACATTCTCGGTCATTTGTGAGCAAAGTCAGATCCAGGATGCAGCCACTTGCAGCATGGCCAAGGAGGTCCTAGCGGGGCTTATTTTGATGGGACTCCCTTAGAGGCAAAACCAGAGCTCAGAGGGTGATTGAACAAGAGGTTTAGTTTTGTTCTTTGTGGAAGCAGAGCACTGCAGAGCCTTTGGTCTGCTTTCAGATCTCACAGCATTGCTGTGCTGAGCTCTGGAGATGTGGTCCCAGCAAATCCTACTTTTATTGTGTGTAGCAAGGTGTCATTATGGGCTGTCCAGTGTTACAGAATGGGAGGGATAGTGAATCTAGCAGGCAGGTTCAGATCAAAGAAGCCTATGTTGGCCCAGAATCCCAATGCATTTCACTGAATTTCATCTCTCTGCTTTTTTTCTATTATTTAGGTATGACACAGCTGTAAAATCAGAAATGCCTAAATACCATGTAAAAGCTAATCTGTGATATGTTTGCGGGAGGGTTTTATAGACTGAGATGTTTTGAGCATTTGAGAGATGCATCTATCTAGAATTAAAGTTGCCAGTGTCAACATCAAAGAGCTTTGAACTGCTGGAAAGAAGCTGTGAAGGTGGCCTTTGCATATTGACTGAATCTTTTTCAAGTTGTGATTTTTCTTTGGATGTAACCCGAGAGGGTGAGCTTGCGAAGATCACTATTGGCAAGTCAGTAGTGGGTATTGGTTTAAAAACATCCAAAGCAGTACAAAGAAAAATAAATCACTTTCTTCACCCCTTTTTCTGCCATTTGCTGCTCAGAACCCCACTGGAAATCATGCCCCATCTTCAGCTTGCCCTGAGAAGGCAAACAGCGGATAGCAGGGATTAAAGTAACAACAAAAGAAATTTTTCTCTTTTATGTATGTTTAGGTTATAAAACGATGGAGTATTTCTTCTGGTGGAAGTGATAAAACTAATGTTAGCGTAAGTCTGGCTTTCTTTTTACATTGAAGAGCATTGTAAACCTGTCCCAAACCCTTCCATGACGCATGAATCCAAAGGCATTCCTTCACCGGAAGGAATCTCCTTGCCTTGTGGGCATGAACAAGGTCATAAGGATCCTGGAATACCCTTGAACCCTTTCACACCTAGCATCATAGAGCAGAAGGGATGTTTACTGGGTCTAGTCCATCTGCCTGCATTGCTGTATCTTTGATTTCCCTTTTAAATAAGCAACCACAAAGTCGTGCTACCAAGTCTCTCTCCAGCCCTGGCAGTTTCCCAGCCTCTCCTGGCAGCATGTCCCATTGTCCTTAGTCCTTTCCAAGATACGTTGCTTTTCCTAATCTTCTTGCACTTCCTCTCTCCTCCGTCAACTCCAAGGTCAGAAAGGTGCTGCTGAGAAGTAAATGTCTGCATAGGACAGACCTCCTTTGGGAATTCCTAGGAATGGTGCTGGCCCTTTTTAGGGATTGGTTTGGGTTTTGGTTTTGATGTAAATGCTAGTCCTCACTGTACTTCAGTGCACTGGCCAAAACTGATTGCCTCATCACACTGAATACATAGTTCCTCTCAGATGAACTACTACATTGTGAGATTTGAAGGAAGCACCAACAGAAGAACGGGAGGAAGAAACAGATCTTCTGTCTCTTTAGGAAGAGGGGTTGAAATTCAACTATCACATGTGTTTACCATTGAGAATTTCTCCAGCTTCAGTGGTAAAACATGATTTTTAAGGGGTCTTCAGCAAAGACTTGAAGGTTTGCACCAGCACATATATTGCTCCTCTCTAAGTATCCTGACACATTTAAACCTTGGATAAGTATTACCGCAGTGTACACTTGAAAGATAAAGAATACGGCCCTTTGCCCGCTGTCCCAGAGTAGTTGCTGGCAGAGCTGGAAATGTAATCATGGACTCCTGCATGTTTGAGCTGTTCAGCTTTCCTCCTTTACAAGGTCCATTTCTGAAAGACATTACTGATGTGAGAATGACCTGATTCCTATCAAAGGCAGCCTTGACAAGCCTCTGGGCTTGTCTCTCATCCTGCCAATGTGGGGACAGGTTTGGGGGTGAATTCTGCTTTCCCCTCATCCAGCAGCCAAGGAGGTCCCAGCCTGGGACCTCTCTTCTCCCTTGCACTGGTGGGCGGGAGATCAGGTTGGACGGGGCTCTGAGCAACCTGGTTTAGCTGAAGATTTCCCTGCCCACGGCACGGCGGTTGGACTAAATGACCTTTAAAGGTCCCTTCCAACCCAAACTATTCTGTGATTCTATGATTCTATGAAGCATACATGTGATGCAAAGCACTGTGCAACACAGCTGCTAGCCATTGCATGTCACCATTCAAGTCACAACTGCTACAGCAAAGGTCTGGAGACTAATCCACAGCCCGCTGAGATTAGGGTGTCCCCACTGCCATCATCAGCTGACCTGTCATCAACTTGCTAATGGGCAATGTTGCCAGGATGGTATGTCAGGCGTAGGCAGTTAGAGAGAACCAGAATACTGCCTGAAACACCCACCACATCTGAATCTTGACCATATTTAATGCATTCCCAGGAACCACTGTGGCACCAGTGTTTGCTGCAGTTATTTTGCTACAAACCAAAGCACGCTGCTAATGCTAAAGTAACTTGAGCCTCAGAGTACAATAATACAGAATTGTCCTTCCTTGGGCAACAAACTTGGATTTTTCCATGGGTTTTTTTTTCAGTTTATTACAGGAAATCTATTCCATGTGACATGTACTTTCTTATATATGTTCCTCAACTATAAAAATGCTCCCATTGGAAGCACGCTCAGATATTCCTGATTAAAATCACATTGTCCAGCAGGATTCATGTTCAAAGCATACAGGACCACACATCCACCTGCATTCAAGCCTAAGCCACCTCACCGCTGCAGCAGAGTAAAGGGGTCTTACTCATTCATGGCTTTATGAACTAATCAGGGATGTAGACACTGTTATCCAAAGCTAACTTTTCAGTGCTAGGGAACTGAGATATTAGCAGACTGACATACAGCAAAATCTGATGACTGCAAGTTGAAAAGTCAATTTTTGAATGCACTAATAGATCTTTGTATGACCTCAGCATGGCTGTGGTAAATTTTCACTCTCTTGCAGTCTTCAAGTTCAGATGAGGCAAAGAAGATGGAGATGATTTTTGAAAAATCAGCCCTTACTCAAAAGGAAGTTACAGGGTTGTAGGCAAGACTCCTTTGCTTCTGTTATGCTCAAATTTGGGACAGATTATCTCTGCCCACCTGCAGGGACTTTGAATCTAAAAAGAAGAGTATCTTGGGAACAGCTGGGTTTACTTTGGTCATCTTCCTCCCAGATGACTTGCAGTCAGCCTACGCGTGGAGGTTGCACACTGTTGCCCTTCCATTTTATCCCAGACCAAACTGGAAGCTGGTGTAGACCCTGAACAGAAAACTGAATGAGCTGTGTTTGTTGAAGCATCAGAGAGGTCTGAATATTTATCCCCTAGACAGCTTATTTGCTGCCAGGAAGCATGAAAGGAACCAAAGGCTTGGAAACAAACACAGCAGGATTTGCAACAAAAATCCCAGCCATCCACACCATGCATCCTAAGTGATTAAAATTAAAAAGTCTCTCGGCGTCTGGGATCCACCAAGCCTTCATTTTTAAGGTTACAATAAGTAGTGAGTGGCTTCCACCAGGATCATAGATTTCTCTTCACAGCAGCTTTAAGGCACATTTTGCTGCCCAAACAGATGTGTATTGAAACATTAGATTGGTACCGACTCAGACAGCAGAGTTCTTCCTTCCTAATCACTCCCATCACTTCGAGTTGTTCTTTAGCTACCCAATTGCTGCAAAAAAAAAAAAAATCCCATTGTTGGAAACCTTGCTATGAGTTTGTTTCTCCATTTAAAAGTCTTCCCTCTGCCTGGCAGATTGTAGGCTCCAACATGCATTTTTTTTCCCTGCTTCCCCCTAAATACACACACTTCCCAAGGTCTAAATTCCTGCAGCTGAGAGCTATCCACATTAAAGCAGGACAGT